GTTAGAGGGTCAAATAAAGATGGAAGAGATGTGTTTTTAGCCGATTCTTGAAGATGGCTAAGGACTCGGCTACTCTGATTGAGTTGGGCATGTCATTCCACCAGGAAGGAGCATTTAATTTAAAAGTCCGTAAAAGTGGTTTTGTGCTTCTTTGGGATGGCACAATCAAGCAACGTTCAATTGCAGAACGCAAGCTTCTAGAGGGCACATAATTCTGAAGTAATGAATTTAGGTAAAGGGTTCAGAGCCAGTGGTGGTTTTGTAGGCAAACTTCAATGCCTTGAATTTTATGCGAGCAGCTATTGGTAGCCAGTGCAAATTGATGAACAGAGGTGTGACGTGCATTCTTTTTGGCTCATTAAAAATTAATCTTGCTGCCGCGTTCTGGATTATTTGTAAAGGTTTGATAGAACTGGCTGGAAGACCTGCCAAGAGAGCATTGCAATAGTCCAGCCTGGACAGAACAAGAGCTTGAACAAGGAGTTGTGAAGCATGTTCCGAAAGAAAGGGCCTGATCTTCTTGATGTTGTATAAAGCAAATCTGCAGAACCGGACAGTTTTAGCAATGTGGTCTGAGAAAGTCAGCTGATCATCAATCATAACTCCAAGGTTTCTGGCTGTTTTTGAAGGAGTTATGGTTGATGTGCCTGGTGAAATTGTGATGAAATGATGGGTTTGCTGGAACCATAAGTAGTTCTGTCTTGGCAAGGTTGAGTTGTTGTTGTTGTAGTTTCTGCAGTGCATTTTTGGTGAGAAATGTATTTGACATATTTGGGTTATAAAAGAATTAAGTGAGATTAAACCATGTATTTTAGTGACACTGTTGACATAATGTTGTTTTTCACCACAAAGAGTTAAAAGTGTCAACACACGTACTAGGAAAAGAGAAGTTCAAAGGTCACCCTGAACTCCCAAAGACTGAAGCTGAGATTCTTCAGAAGAGTGGACCCTGTCCTGGAAGGTTCAGGTGCGCTCTTGTTTTTTATCACTGTCAGTTCTTGAGTTTGTTCAGCAGTTTTTTTTTTGTTTTTATCAGTTTCTACAGCATTTGACCTGTTTAGATGTGCTTGTTTACCTGACTGCATCTTTTTCCTTCACTCAACACAGAGTTTACAAAGAAGGCGACCATGACCTGCCTGAATTTCCTTCATATTTTCAAGTGGCCAAGTATTCAGTTTTTGAGAGGGTGAGTGACTTCATGCATCAATCACAATAAAATTATTACTGGACATCAGGGGGAAAATAAAATAAATAGTGAATAATGTATGGTGACCCCTTTAACACATTCTTGAGCTGATTCTATTAGCGCCCACAACTGTTTGTAAGTGTTTTCATGTCTGCAAGTGTTTAATTGTGTGTTTCAGGTCAAACCCAAGACTTTGTCTGTTCTGGAGCTGCAGAGTGCCAAAGGCCGAGCAGGCCAGCAGTATCGTGTGTTGTGTTCAGTCTTGTGTGAAGCTGAGGTTTGATCATCATTAATGTTGTTATCTCTGGAATCATAGATGGTGACGGAGGTGCTGAATTTGTCTTGTGGTGATGGTGATGGACTCTCTCTCGCTATAGACCACAGTGGTTCAGGACAAGCTTGTGTTCTGCGTGACATCTGAAGATGCTGTGGAAGCATATCTGCAGCTGATGAAGGAGATTGGGACAGAGGGATTCACAAAGACACACACACTTTCCCCTGAGGTTGAGCGCTTGGCATCCTACAGCCTGCAGCAGGTTAGATCAACGCAACGCAGATCTGTTTTTATTCATTTGATATATGTATAACATGTGACTAATGGGTGTGAAGTAATTGCTCACTCTTTTGATTGGCAGCTGCTGTTGGAGGAGAAGCTGAACTGCAGCACATTGTCACAGGAAGTTGGTGTCTTTGTGGAGCTGGTTTGGACTGAAGCTCTCGGTTCCCTTAATAACATCCTGACAGTCCCTGTCTCCAGAATCAGCCTCAATGACGTGAGAATGAGCTTAGATAATCACACACAGTGCAGTGGAGAAGCTGACAGGAATTTGCTGTGTTTAACGGTTCCGGTGTGTTTATTGGCTCTGTGCTGCTACAGGTGAGCAGGGTGGAGGGATTGTTACTGCAGGCACAAAAGACTGAGAAAGAGGATGAAGTCAAAGCCCTGCTACAGGAGGTCAACACTCTTCTGCCCCTCAGAATGTTCGACCCTCCTTCCAAACACAAGCTTGTGTCTCAGAAACTGGACCTTTGTCAGGTATCACATACATCAATTATAGTATAAAATTCTTATATTATTTTAGGACCATTAAGATCATGGTATTATAATATTATTTTCATGATAATTAAGCTATTTTTCTTAATACTTTCATTTCTGGATGGTTTTACTTTTAGGTGTTTTTGTAATTCTCATTATTCTTAAAAATGATTGTCATTTATATAGATAGATCATTAAAAACTAATAGATTTTTTAAACCATAATACAATGCTTAGTTTAAATAAATGAAAGTCAAACAAATACTGAATTAAATTCCTTTACATTTGAGGTTTGAATTTGGCTTCTTAATTCAGCAGTGCAGATCTGACCTTTTCACTCTTTTAACTCTTCTGTCATCTCCAGCTGATCAGAGATATTGTAAATGTGAGTGAGGCCACTCTGGGATGCCCCTCACCCTCGTCTCTGGGAAAATATCGAGCTCTGAGGTGCAGCATTGAGGTTGTTCCACCACAAAACCCTGAATTTCATGTTGTCTCTCAACTGCTTCAGGACAGGTAAACGTGATTGTGCTGATTGTGGTCTGAAGTTCAAACATGAATGTATTTCAGAACATGTCTTTATATAATTATGTTAATATTATATGCACTACAGGCCGTTTCAGATTCAGCAGATACTGCGTGTCAGCAGAGGAGTGGAGCTTCAGTTGTTTAGGGAGGATTTAGGCAACATTAAACCCCTCCTCCACTCCACTAGTCCCAGCAGTTTTGTTGGAATACTGTCACGGTGAGAGTTATTAATAAATCATTTATTTAAATATTAACTTTAAGTGAGTGCTGAATTATGACAATCTTAATGTAACAATCAAGGAAATAAGGAATACAAAAATACCACGTTGACCAATCCTGAAAAGCAAAAAATGTAATATCTGACTATACATTGGTTTAAGTTACTTTTTTTAATGTCTATTCAGTAATTTACATTTGTGCAATAATAATGTATTTTCTTCATTTTTGAGCTTTTCTTAGAAAATGCTGATATGTATATGATTAATTGTCATTAATTTGATTGATCAGCTTATCATGTAATTAACTGAATATACATTTTTAAACATTCTTTACAGAGGTCTGCTGCTGCCCAGGGTTGGAGTCGAACAGCATGGAATTGAGAGGACGGATATCGGCAATCTTGGAGGAGGAATCTACTTCAGTGACTCTCTGAAGTCAGTGGTTTTTAGCATTACTCCGTTATCTCTTAATATAACAGATTTATTAATAATGTGAATCCACTATCATGATGACAACTGGAGATTTTAGCCAGTCAGTACGTATTTTCTCTGTGTTAAAGGACTAGTGTGAAATACTCCAAGCCCAGTGTGACTGACGGCTCTCGGCTGCTGTTGGTGTGTGAAGTGGCGTTGGGTCGGTGTAAGGACCTGCTGAAGAAAGACACCACTTTGACTTGTGCGCCTGACAGCTACCACAGTGTACATGGAGTCCAATGCTCTCCCAACAGACTCTCTGAATTTGAGGTGCTTTTCTTACTCATTTTCTCTGTACTTAAATATTCTGCTTCTGTTTTTGGGATCTGATGTGACTCTTGCATTTGTGTGTGTGTGTGTTTATATTTGACAGGATGATGAGTTTGTCGTCTATAACACAGAGCAGATCAGACTGAAGTATGTGGTGCTGTACAGTCTGGAGGGAGACGAGTTAAAAGAGTTCCAGCCTCAAATCAACACTCAGCTCACACAGCTCACCGACACAACACCTGATATCTGTGAGTAATATCTAGTGAACAGGACATGCTCAGATACCAGCTTTTATATGTGGAGGAATCAGTTTTAACTAGCGCTGTCAAATCTATTACATTTTTTATCAAATTAATTTAAATCTTAATAATATGCTAAAATTTGTGTTTTTAAATTCATCAGTGGTTTTGTGCGAATGTGTTTCTTTAGTGTCCAGTGATGACAGTGAGGGTTTGGAGTCCATTAAGAATCCTCTGGAGGAGATGACCGCAGGTTTGCTGGACAGCAGTGGTCAGAAACTTCCTCTACAGGCTGTCAATGTGAGGTGCAAGCTGATGGACCTGCTGTGTCAGGTATGATACTACAGCGGTGGACTGCAGTTTGAAATGAAAAGAAATGAGCATGATGAATTCCAAAGTAAACCAAAAGAACAACACAATGGAAAAAAAAAACGCTAATAAAATGAAACTAGAACAAGGCAGCGTTGGACACAATCAAGACCACGGGAACAAAGTAAAAATAACAAAATAAAAGAAAATCCCACATCCAAACATGTAGACCAGAACACTGAAATATAATTTCAAACTACAACATTAATTTCATCTCTGTTTCCACCAGGTCATCATATTTCAGACCTACACAAACCAGAGTGCTGTTCCCATTGAAGCAAAGTATGTCTTTCCACTGGAAGAGATGGCAGCAGTGTGTGGATTTGAAGCCTTTATCAATGGAAAGCATGTCATTGGAAAGGTGCGAGTCATTCAGAATTTGTCAAATACAGCCTGTACTCTTTAAACATCTTTTTTATTAATTTGCAATGTCTGTTTTTGTCCTGTAGGTAAAGGAAAAGGAGCAGGCTCGTAAGGAGTACAAGCAAGCCATAGAGAAAGGTCATGGAGCCTACCTGATGGACCAGGATGCACCTGTGAGTTACTGTAACTGATCTGGAGCTCATGTGTGTGTGATAATGTATCAGAAGGTTTCTTTAAGGTCATGTGTTTATGTGAGGCAGGATGTATTTACTATCAGTGTGGGGAATCTTCCTCCTGGAGCCACAGTTTTGATCAAGGTGACGTTCATCACTGAGCTGGTGGTCAGATCAGGCTCTATAGTCTTCTCACTGTCTGGCAGCGTGGCACCATGGCAACAGAGAGCCGCCCTTAATCAGACAACTCAGGTACGACACTCTTTTGTTATTGTATTTAAAATCCTATTTGGCCTGCTGATTGCTAGCATTTTGACTGACAGTTGTGTTGCATTTCAGGCCACTGTTGAAAAGATTGGTGTGACAGAGCTTCAGTCAGAAGGGTGAAGATCTAAAATACTGGAGAATTCACAGGGAAATTCACTCAAGATTCACTAAAAATGAATTGCACATGCTAATGACTAACAATATAAAAGCTGAATATTTAATGTAGCAAACCACATGTAGCATCATTTAACCTTTATAACATCATGCTTTATATACAGTAGCACCTGGTCTAGTTGAACTGTGGATGGTCACTAAATAAGGCACAGCGTTGTTGTAACTCGGTTTCATTTTCATTCTCTTTCTTCAGGGAGTTTTCTCTGTCTATGTCCATTGAAATGCCTTATGAGATCATCAACTTAAGCTCTTCACACGGCATCAAAACCAAGGTTATCAATTCATTTTGGTGCATTGTCTTACTAAAATACTTAAAAAAAAAAAAAAACATGAAGTAGCCTCTATTAACAGTATTAGTGTTTCCCCTGTTCAGAGGACAGACTGTAAGGCAGTGATCAGCACGTTACCGGGACAGACTCTGGGATCTGAAGGATTACAGGTGTCCTTTAGTCTTTCTAATATCCACATGCCCAGGATGTGGGTCGAGAACCATCCAGATAAAGATAGTCAGGTAAAGAAATGATTAATCAAATCTGTTTTCCTGTCTGTCATGGTATTGCACACAAAAAATGCCACTTTCCAGCTTACGCACCCTGACAAAAATGAACACTGATACGGATCTGATCCCTGCAGGCCTGCATGCTGGTGTTTTATCCAGACTTTAAGTCACGCGGGGTGTCCGGCTCTGGAGGTCCGTCCAGTGTGAGCGATGTGGTCATTCTTCTGGACTCCTCCAAGTCCATGCAGGGAGACGCCATGCTGAAAATTATTAATCAAATCTGTTTTCCTGTCTGTCATGGTATTGCACACAAAAAATGCCACTTTCCAGCTTATGCACCCTGACAAAAATGAACACTGATACGGATCTGATCCCTGCAGGCCTGCATGCTGGTGTTTTATCCAGACTTTAAGTCACGCGGGGTGTCCGGCTCTGGAGGTCCGTCCAGTGTGAGCGATGTGGTCATTCTTCTGGACTCCTCCAAGTCCATGCAGGGAGACGCCATGCTGAACGCCCGCAGGATTGCCCTTCAAGTCCTCAAATCTCTGCACCGCTCACTGAAGATCAACATCATCTCTTTCAGCACAGGTTAGAGCTCACTGAAACTGTCTGATACTGTTTTATTGATCATCATGTGAACATTTTTATATCCCTCTTATTTTCGTGATGCAAAGTGAAGCATTATGGGTAAATGTGTGTTTTTACAGATTACAGGGAAGCTTTTCCTGCACCAGTGGGTTTAGACGAGGCATCTGAAGCAGCCAGAAAATTTATTATGGTGAGTAATGTTTACAAATGGTTAAAGATGGTTCTGAAACTCAGTTTCTTTGCGTATCATTGCATTTCTCCTCTCTTCAGTCGTGTGGCGGCTCTGGTGGCAGCACTGATCTGTGGCGGCCTCTCCGGAACCTGAGTCTGCTGCCTCCCTGCCGGGGTGTGAGGAACATCCTGCTGCTCTCTGATGGACATGTTCAGAACCAGCCTCTGACCCTACAGCTGGTCCGAGAAAACTCCTGCCACACGCGCTTCTTGCCACACGCGCCTCTTCACCTGCGGACTCAGGTCTGCCTTTAAACAAATCTCTTTACTTTTCTCCTTCAATTACACTGAATTTCTGAGCGTACAGTTTGATTGTGTTTGTGTTTGTCTAGCTTGACAGCTAATCGTCATATGCTCAGAGCTTTGGCTCAGGCAGGTGGAGGAACATATGAATTTTTTGACACAAAGATGAAACACACTTGGACAGAGAAGGTGAATCACTCTCTTTATTATATTGTTTTTTAATAACTTAAAGGGAAACATAATCTTTGCAATATGGGCCAGTCTGAGGCTTGGGTTGAACAGATTTGTGGGTAATTTCAGGTGCGCGCTCAGGTTCAGCGTATTGAGTCTCCAGGCTGCAGATCAGTGGCAGTGAAGTGGCAGCAGTTTAACCCCACAGCGCCCCCTCCTGTTCAAGCCCCCTCACAGCTTCACGCCCTCTTCAGTGACTGTCACACTCTCCTATACGGATTTGTGCCACACTGCACTCAGGTAGACAGGCTTAAGTTAAAATCTGCATTGTTACTTATTGTAGTTGTTATTAGGAATGTGTCATATATTGAATATTCACAACAAAAACTAGGCAACATCATGAATATAGTGGTCATTTTAGTGTTTCTTCGGTGTTACAGATAGATTTGGGATGTTTTCATTGTTGTGAATCACTTCAAACGGTTTCAAATAATTGATTCAAAACTCTGAATCAACATTTGCATAATCACTAAAAAATGTTCATGAACACTAAATGTAGATGTATCAAGAATGTATTGATACATTAAAATATTTCAATAAAAATATATGTACTGTAGGTAAATACTGAAGTTTTTACAGATTACTTTTATATTTGTTCCAGTGGCATGCAGTGGTGTTTGGAAATATTTTATGTAAATTCATGTCCCAGTTCCACTTCCCTGATTGGTGCATTTAATTAATGAAAATAATTAAATATCATTCTTCATATAATTTTTAATTTAGTAACCAGCAGTGTGCAAACATGGCTTAGTTATTTTAAATTATTAAAATAACTATCAACTATCAAGATTTGTCCAGATTTAAAATAACTGCCCAGTTATTTGTGTTTATTTATTGTTTTGAATTGTGTAATATTTACTCATTTAGGCCACACTGTTTGGTGATTTGAGTGGACAAGAGATCAAAACAATGGTTTCCACCACAGAACTGCAAAAGACAAAGGGAACTGTGAGTGAGCATCTTAAATACTTCATATAATCTGAAACATCATCAATTGTTTATCAGGCGTTTGAAGAGTTGTGTGTGTGTGTGTGTAGTTCCTTCACAAGTTAACAGCAAGAGCGATCATCAGAGACTATGAAGATGGCATTCTAGCCAACAGTGAGGCAGAACACGAGGTACAATATTTGGCTGCGTGATGATATTTTTTATATAACTGGCAGATTTGCTAACAGAAGAACTTGACTTGCCATCTTTTATGTCTTTATCAGGGGAAGAAAGCAGAGCTGAAGTCTTACATCATTGAGCTCAGTAAAGAGTTCTCCATCTTGTCCCATTTCACAAGCTTTGTCGCCATTGAAGAGAGGGTATGATTGCTGCTAATTTAAGGATTGTGTGTTTAAGGCACCGATGCTAAACATAATGACAAATAAACATCCAGTTTCAGAATTAATGACAAATCTGTATTAAGTAGCTTATTGTTATCCTCAGAAATAAAACATTTGTAGCTTGGGTAATGGTTGACTGATTTGAGATTTTCAATGCCAGTATATACAGGTCCATCTCAAAAAATTTTAATATCGTGAAAAAGTTATTTTTTTCTTTTTTCTTTTTTTGTAACTTATTTCAAAAAGCATGGCATGAACGGCTCGAATAGTTCCTGTATCAAATGAAAGCCCACCTTCTGAAATATGCAATGTGCTGTGATTGGTTAGCTGGGCCAGTGTGTGTTGTGATTGGCTGGTGTTTTATCCAGACTTTAAGTCACGCGGGGTGTCCGGCTCTGGAGGTCCGTCCAGTGTGAGCGATGTGGTCATTCTTCTGGACTCCTCCAAGTCCATGCAGGGAGACGCCAAGCTGAACGCCCGCAGGATTGCCCTTCAAGTCCTCAAATCTCTGCACCGCTCACTGAAGATCAACATCATCTCTTTCAGCACAGGTTAGAGCTCACTGAAACTGTCTGATACTGTTTTATTGATCATCATGTGAACATTTTTATATCCCTCTTATTTTCGTGATGCAAAGTGAAGCATTATGGGTAAATGTGTGTTTTTACAGATTACAGGGAAGCTTTTCCTGCACCAGTGGGTTTAGACGAGGCATCTGAAGCAGCCAGAAAATTTATTATGGTGAGTAATGTTTACAAATGGTTAAAGATGGTTCTGAAACTCAGTTTCTTTGCGTATCATTGCATTTCTCCTCTCTTCAGTCGTGTGGCGGCTCTGGTGGCAGCACTGATCTGTGGCGGCCTCTCCGGAACCTGAGTCTGCTGCCTCCCTGCCGGGGTGTGAGGAACATCCTGCTGCTCTCTGATGGACATGTTCAGAACCAGCCTCTGACCCTACAGCTGGTCCGAGAAAACTCCTGCCACACGCGCCTCTTCACCTGCGGACTCAGGTCTGCCTTTAAACAAATCTCTTTACTTTTCTCCTTCAATTACACTGAATTTCTGAACGTACAGTTTGATTGTGTTTGTGTTTGTCTAGCTTGACAGCTAATCGTCATATGCTCAGAGCTTTGGCTCAGGCAGGTGGAGGAACATATGAATTTTTTGACACAAAGATGAAACACACTTGGACAGAGAAGGTGAATCACACTCTTTATTGTATTTTTTTAAATAACTTAAAAGGAAATAATATCTTTCCAATATGGGCCAGGCTTGATTCTGAGGCTTGCGTTGAAGAGATTTGTGGGTAATTTAATTTCAGGTGCGCGCTCAGGTTCAGCGTATGGAGTCTCTAGGCTGCAGATCAGTGGCAGTGAAGTGGCAGCAGTTTAACCCCACAGCGCCCCCTCCTGTTCAAGCCCCCTCACAGCTTCACGCCCTCTTCAGTGACTGTCACACTCTCCTATACGGATTTGTGCCACACTGCACTCAGGTAGACAGGCTTAAGTTAAAATCTGCATTGTTACTTATTGTAGTTGTTATTAGGAATGTGTCATATATTGAATATTCACAACAAAAACTAGGCAACATCATGAATATAGTGGTCATTTTAGTGTTTCTTCAGTGTTACAGATAGATTTGGGATGTTTTCATTGTTGTGAATCACTTCAAACGGTTTCAAATAATTGATTCAAAACTCTGAATCAACATTTGCATAATCACTAAAAAATGTTCATGAACACTAAATGTAGATGTATCAAGAATGTATTGATACATTAAAATATTTCAATAAAAATATATGTACTGTAGGTAAATACTGAAGTTTTTACAGATTACTTTTATATTTGTTCCAGTGGCATGCAGTGGTGTTTGGAAATATTTTATGTAAATTCATGTCCCAGTTCCACTTCCCTGATTGGTGCATTTAATTAATGAAAATAATTAAATATCATTCTTCATATAATTTTTAATTTAGTAACCAGCAGTGTGCAAACATGGCTTAGTTATTTTAAATTATTAAAATAACTATCAACTATCAAGATTTGTCCAGATTTAAAATAACTGCCCAGTTATTTGTGTTTATTTATTGTTTTGAATTGTGTAATATTTACTCATTTAGGCCACACTGTTTGGTGATTTGAGTGGACAAGAGATCAAAACAATGGTTTCCACCACAGAACTGCAAAAGACAAAGGGAACTGTGAGTGAGCATCTTAAATACTTCATATAATCTGAAACATCATCAATTGTTTATCAGGCGTTTGAAGAGTTGTGTGTGTGTGTGTGTAGTTCCTTCACAAGTTAACAGCAAGAGCGATCATCAGAGACTATGAAGATGGCATTCTAGCCAACAGTGAGGCAGAACACGAGGTACAATATTTGGCTGCGTGATGATATTTTTTATATAACTGGCAGATTTGCTAACAGAAGAACTTGACTTGCCATCTTTTATGTCTTTATCAGGGGAAGAAAGCAGAGCTGAAGTCTTACATCATTGAGCTCAGTAAAGAGTTCTCCATCTTGTCCCATTTCACAAGCTTTGTCGCCATTGAAGAGAGGGTATGATTGCTGCTAATTTAAGGATTGTGTGTTTAAGGCACCGATGCTAAACATAATGACAAATAAACATCCAGTTTCAGAATTAATGACAAATCTGTATTAAGTAGCTTATTGTTATCCTCAGAAATAAAACATTTGTAGCTTGGGTAATGGTTGACTGATTTGAGATTTTCAATGCCAGTATATACAGGTCCATCTCAAAAAATTTTAATATCGTGAAAAAGTTATTTTTTTCTTTTTTCTTTTTTTGTAACTTATTTCAAAAAGCATGGCATGAACGGCTCGAATAGTTCCTGTATCAAATGAAAGCCCACCTTCTGAAATATGCAATGTGCTGTGATTGGTTAGCTGGGCCAGTGTGTGTTGTGATTGGC